TCCCTCTTCTGACCTCTATGGGCATTGCATGACATTTGTATATTGTATAACACATATATGCAGGCTCATACACATAAAATGAAAATAATAATAAAATATAAAAGAAAAGAAAGAAAATGGCCATGTAAATAGCTCCCAAGCCACACTTGCCTGTGTGGTGCACTCTTACTGCATGGCCTAGTACCACTGTGATCTCTGAGCACATCTGACATGTTATTCCATCCAGAGAATGCTTTGATATAATGAATTGGGCATCTAGAGAGATTGGGTTAAAAAGCAATGCTAGGCTTTCCAACTAATGAAGAAGTTTGTTAATAAAATTGCTAATCTATTTGGTACATTCTGTTGTGAAGACCCCCCCACACACCGAAGTGCTTCTAATCTCAAGTCATTGTCAGAGTTCTCAACATCAGGGTGAGAGTCCAGCAACTGTTTAACACATGCAGGGAATTTTCACCATTTATGGTTGTGCAGTCCCTGCTGAAGGTCTGTACTTAGCCCAGGCTTAGGTCGGCAATTTCGATTCAAAGTGTAGTTTTCTCTCAGTCTCAAAGTACTCTTCAATCTCAAATCTCATTGGGTATCTGATTCCTGAAAGCAGCTAGGATTGAGTCTGCTTCATTGTGATCCACTATCAAGGCATATTTTCAATTTGTAGTCAAAAGATAATTGAAAGTCATTTTATATGTTTATGACAAGTTTTTGTTTTTGAGGAAGTAGAGAGAGATGATAGAACCATTTTTAGAGCAAAAAGAAGTTTGAGTATGACTTTCCATTCATCCAGTGCAGTCATCATGGCATCCCTGTCCTTAGATTTCTCCTCTATTACTCACTCCCTGGGTTGATTAGCTGAAGAGTGAGGAATTTGAAAGGTTTTGCTTACATTTTTAAAATTTTCTCTGTAGAATTATTTGAAGGTTTTAGAGTCATGTAGATATAGAAACATTTAAAAATTCAAAATATGTTTGGATATGTTTGATATGTCTGGTGATGTTTTCTATGTATCATTTTATTATAATGAAAGTCTATAGGATGTTTTCTGTAAATCTAAAACTTAAGTATATGAAAGAATTAATCTTTTTTCTCTTTGCTTGTACTTTTTTAAGACAAGGTCTACCTGTAGTCCCAGCTGGCCTGGAACTCAGGATGGAGAGCAGCAGGCTGGCCTCAATCTCACAGAGATCCACATGCCTCTGACTCCCAAGTGATGAGATCAAAGACATGTGCCACTACATCTGGCTAAAAAATATTAATCTGTTAAAAATAATTTTCATACTCATACCTGAATGAAATATGGAGAACTCCTTAATTTGAAGCTATATCTTATTTTAGATTTTTGTAGATTTTTGAAAAGAGAATTTCAAGAAATTATTCTTTACAATTACAGTCTAAGTTAAATATAATTAATTAAATCTTTATCCCTTCATGATTTCGGTTCATACTTGAGTTTCTTTCTCAGAGAAGCAAGAATATACACTTTTCTAATAAAATGGACATTTTATTTCTGGTAACAAGACAAATAATGAGATGAGGAAGGGGACAAGGAAAGCAATAGGCAGGCTAGGGAAGCTGGTGTGTTTTGGGTTGAGTGGAAGGCCTGTTGATGGGGAGAGGTTAAAGGTTAAGATGAAAGAAGGTAATTGATACTGAGGGGGAATGGGTCAATGGCACTGTCATGCAGAGGAGCAGAACCTGGGCAAGAAGACAACCAGAAGCCCTGAGCACAGGAAAGATGATATAAAGGAACTTGAAAAGCCCAGGGCAGTCATGCTGAATGTCCCCCACCTTTGGGTGCTGTAGGAAGCATAGGTACTGTACTCCCAATGACATGGTAATCAGGCAGGGAATGTGAAAGCAGTAGGATAGACTTGGAATTATTAACAGAGAAAAGGAAAGTAGCCAAGTGTAAATGGACCAACTTGTAATAGGTTTTAAAGAGCAATAGCATTTTGTTAATGATCTGTCAGAACTTTTACTTGGTCATAGGAAGAGATTTATAATTCCTCTGTATTGCACTTGCAGGAGATTTAGAATTCTTTGGTATAACATTTTATACAGTTGATATTCTTCTTTGGTGGTGGGGACATCTTTAAAAGCCTAAATCACATAAGGTAGGCAGTGAGGGTAAATAAGAATTCATATAAACCAGATATAAGGTACTTTTGTCCTCAAAAGTGTATGGGAAAAAAAGATCGGAGCAGAAAAATGCCAGCACTGTACAAGTATTCTTGGGATAGAATATAATTGATTGCATCTTAAATAGATGCTAACCTATTGAAAAGAAAAAGTTGTAATCTGAAGGACCAATTCATACTGGTCTTCTTGGACCAAAGTAAAGGATGAGGTACTCTGAACATCCTTTAACATGGTGTGGCCAGGATTGTCCATCCGGGTCGCTGCTGGTAGGGGTGGCAGCAAAATAATTTGAACTCTTTGTTCCTAAACTGGTGTAATTCTAGGGACTTTACATTTACACTTAATAGTAATTGACACTGGGTGGCAGGATGTTAGTATTAATCAAGAATAATATATTTCAGTGAGAGTGTTTGCCTGGCATGAATGTGCACAAGAACTACAAAAATAGATAAATAGATGGATGGATAGATGGATGGATGGATGATAGATAGGTAGGTAGATAGATAGATAGATAGATATAGATAGATAGATAGATAGATGAGAAATATTATCAGAAAAAGTCAATCTACAATAATCACAATATTAATAGCATGGGCAATAATCACAATATCAACAGCATGGGTATCTCACACTTGATACACACTGTTTCATGAGGAATAGCCCAGACTGTCCTCTCCATGTGGAGGATTACTGTCACCTTTGTGCTCTGTATGTCCTGATATGTGGGGTGTCTGTGTTCTTCTGAATCTGAATGCTCATATATGGTGTATTTTAAGCATGGGTTTTAAGGGACCAGCTTTTCTTCCACATTCCTAAAAGTCCCCTTTTATTTTCATGTATCACCCCAACCACCCAAATTCCATATGAGAGGAAAAAAAAAACATGAGGTATTTCTTTGTGAGTCTGCCTCATTTTGCATAACAAGGTGATCTCCAGTTCCATCCATATGTCTGCAAACAATATAATTTCATTCTTCTTTATGGCTGAATAAAACTCTATTGTATATGTGTAGCACATTTTCTTTATCCATTCATCTGTTGACAAGCGCCTAGGCTGATTCTATAACTTGGCTGCTGTGAATAATGCTGTAGGAAACATGAGCATGTGGGAGTATTTACTGAGCTAGATCTGATTCTTGTGAGTGTATGTCCAGAAGTAGCATAGCTGGATCATATAGTAGTTTTATATTTAATAGTTTAGGAACCTTTGTGCTAAACTGACTTCCACAGTGGTTTGAATAATTGACATTCCCACCAATACCTCTCTCCCCCACATCCTCACCAGCATTTTTTGTTGCATGTTTTCTTTTGTAAAATTTGTTTTTATTGAATTTTTCTGTATTTCATACAGAACATCTTAAGCAATCTTAATCATCTTTATACCCCCATCCCCTCCTTAGCCCCCTCCACTGGAGCCCATATACTCTGTCATCTCTGTTACTGCCTGTTGTATCAAGTCAGTGTCCCAAGACATTCCCCAGTGAAGGTCCTTCCACTGTAGTCTAGTCAGCTTATCTAGGGTCCCTTGTTTTAGGAAGATCAGCACTTGATGTAGCAGCAATCAGTTGCCAATATTTCTTCAGAAAAGATTGAGGTCTGTTGTTCATTTTCCTAATTCTATGCTGGGTTTTTGTCTCCCTGAGTTGCATGGGACTTGTGTATGCTGACACCATTGCCTTAGAATCATATGAGCAGGTTCCCAGGAGCCTGTAGGACTCTTTCCATATGGTCATGCACCTCCTCCTTTGTTTATAAAAAATATTTTATTATTTTTATTTTTATGTGTATAAGTATGTTGCCTACATGTATGTAAGTGCACCTGTGTCATGCAATGCCAGTGGAGGTTAGAAGAGGGTGTTGGATCTCCCAGAATTGGAGTTACGGACAGTTGTTAGCTACTGTGTGGGTGCTGGGAATCAAACCTGGGTGTTCTGCAAGAGCAGCCAATGCTCTTAATCACGGAGCCATCTTTCCAGCCTTGTTATAGTTCTTTTTTTGTCCTGACTGCTTTGTGTCAACTCTTAAAGTCCTGAGGTACATGTGACTTGAAAAACCAGGGTTACTATGTACTTTTCAGTGGATAAGGCAAAGCTTCATGCTAGAATGTGAACAAATTATAGACTGTGAATCCCTTTGGCCTTCAGCATGTCAGAGCAGGACCAGAGGCACCCAGAGTATCCCTGCCTCTCCTAAGTTGTAAGCATGTCAGCCACTTACCCCAGTGTATATGTGGCATGAGGGTACAAAGTCCAGGAATGCCACCCTGGCCTGTTCTCTGGCTTACTCTTATTTCTTCCACCTGAAAGCCAAAACACTATCTCTTTTCTGATATATTAGCTGGAGCTTTGCTGCCCCTGGCCTTTATGATGATTGTCCTGGGACGTGCTGGCTTGACTGGTGTCTCCTGAGCACTGTTACTGCAGAGCTGCTTCTTGACTGTTTCCTGTCTTCAAGTCTTCCATTCATCCTGTCTTAAGTTCTGTTGCATTCTCGCAGTTTTGCTCACTTGGTTTTGGGAAAAATTTTCATAGATGGCGCTCACCTCAGCCCCTTTCTTACAAATCAGCTCATTGCTGAAGCTGCTACAACTCCACCCTTTGTTCCTTGCAGAACTGTTGTTTGGCAACTTCAACCACGTGGCCAGGTCCAAAGATGCTATCTTCTTCCCACACTCCATCCCCTCCCCATTTCCCCAAATACACGCAAACAGAAAAACTCAGGGTAAGAATCTGCTGGGAGGTAGTCATTAAGAACAATGTTCATTCATGTTTCCTTTTTATCTTTTCTCTGCTTTTTTAGAACTTGTATTGTGCTAAGAAAAGACAGGTTATAATTAAGCTAAAAGTATTTCTTTGATTTTACCAGATGAGAATTCTCCAGCCAACTTCTGGGATTCTAAAAACAGGGGTGTGACTGGAACTCAAAAAGGACAAATTGTATGGAGAATTGAGCCTGGGCCCTACTTCATGGAACGTAAGTATGAAATACAGTCTTAGAATTGAGTATTATATAAATATGTACGAATTTATGGACTTATTTCTGAATGTTATTTTAAAAGTTTCATTATTTATATATTTATGTCATGATACTCCATACTGGAAAATATATTGTTTTAGAAAATGCTCATTGGAGATTGTATCTCCATTTGCAATTCATATTTAATTGGATCAATTTTAGGAAGCAGAAAGAATAATTTAAGATTTTGGCTAATTTAATAATTTTATATACCTATGACATATCTCATTTTTACCAGCATCAGAATGCTTTTTACATGTGGGTGAATAGAATATGGCTGAGAAAGTCTGGAGCATACTGCCATCAAGGGCCAATACTAGGAATCAGAAAATTACCCAGTTCATCTTATGCCGTATTCATTTGTAAATACAAATGCTTGTATAGTACATAGTTCTTCAGTGCTATCTTATCCCATTCGTTTTGGATAAAGTATGTGTAGAGGATGAGGTGTTTATATTCACATATTTATGTTCCTGAGGACATGGTAGCAATACCTTTTTATAGATGGGAATGGAAGGAAATTGGTAATAAATGATCTACTACTTCGTCCAAGTTAATTTTAATATTTTCACATGTTCTCTTTAGTGTAAGGAAAATATGAGCTTTTAATTTTTTTCATAATTGTTGAGTGCTAAGAATTAATATTTCTTATGCAAGGGATTTATTTATAAGAGATTCTGTGAACACTAGAAATTAAAGGAACTTATCAAGTTTTAAAAGTACGTGTTTGAGAGCTTGCTACAAACATATTTTTGCTGATTGAGGGTTCTAAAACTTCTATAATATAAAAAGTTATTTAAAATATTAGCATCTTGGGGATGGAGAGATGGCTGAGTGGTTAAGAGCACTTGCTGCTCTTGCAGAGGACCTGGGTTCAATTCCCAGCACTCACATGGCAGTTAACAACCATCCATAACTCCACTTCCAGGGAATCTGATGCTGTCTTCTGACCTCCACGAGCATTGTAGGACATGAGTACACTTTAACATACATGCAGGCAATACACATAAAATAAAAACAATAAATAAAATATTTTTAAAAAATATTAGCATCTGTTACTTTGAATAGCATTGAAGGTACTAGCTGTTTTTTTTCCCACTATCCTTCCTGGTAGTTAGTACTGACCTGTTTATTCCTTTAAATCTATTCAAGTAAGCCCTGTAATAATATAACCCCGGGCTACCTCCTTTGAGGGCTTACCCTTATTTCACTTTGTTTGGACTTCTAATGAGGGAAAGGCAAACAAATTTTATTTCTGAAGATGAAAGCAAAATTTTTTTTAATTATATTTTCACTGGGCATGGTGGCACATGCCTTTAATCCCAGCACTCGGGAGGCAGAGGCAGGC